TTTATTTAAATGAAATAATTGATTTAGTTTTTTATAAAGAATTTAAAGATCAGAATCTTATTATGATTATTCATCATTCGTTTACTCTTTGTTTATTAGCTTTCAGTTACAAAGTTAACCTTACTAGATTTGGTATTGCTATTATGGCACTTCATAACATTTCTGATCCTTTTTTAAATTTAGCTAAATTATTTTACAGATTGAAAATGAATGTGTTAAACTCAATATCAGGTTTTATATTTGCAATTACTTTTATCGTTCCAAGATTATACATATTTCCTTTTATAGTTATAAAACAAGCTTTTAAATCAACTATTAATAACAAGGTTATCAGATGTGTTATTTTAAGTTCTTTAATAATCTTACAAGTACTACATGTTATATGGACATCTATGATAGTAAAAATTGCTTTTAGAATGATAATTGGTTGATAAATTTAAAACTTTTTGTTTCAAAAAGGAAATAAAAATAAAATTATTAAAACAAATATAAACATGTTAAGAGTATTTATAATTTTATTAGTGAAACTTTATAGTGCAAAAAGTTCTGCAAATAGTTCATATTTAGTTACAAAACCCCAACTTATTAAAGAATCAAATAATTTAAAAAATAATTCATCAAATGTATTTGAAGAATTTAGACCTGGTAATGGTTGTTATCCTACTGGAATGAGTAGAAAAAATCAAAAGAATACTAAATCTTTAATGACTCAAATTAAAGACGGTTATCCTATATTAATTGATTTTGATGATGGTAAATGTGGAGGAGAAGAATGTTATGATATGTGTAAGGTTTTTAGATTGCAATTTAAGGATTTTTTCTACCATCCAAATACTTCTCAAGAAGTCAAGAAATTATTAACATTAGAAAATTATAAAAATTTATCAAAAATTAAAAAGTTTGTTGTATTTTGGCAAGGAAAAGCATACTTTGATTTAAAATCAGTAGAAAGTATATTTAAACCGGTAAAAATTTTAAAACCTAAAGCTGAAGAATATGATGATGTTTCTATTATTACAAGTTAATAAAAAAGTTTAAAAATTTTCTA